TTTAATAATAAAACAAAAAAATCTTTTATGAACAACTGGATGAATTTCAAAATCACACTGAAAAATTACAAGTATTTTTTTTTTAAATAAATGATAAGGATTTTTTTTTTCCTTGTCCAACCTGAAAGAAAGTAACATGTTTTAAATTATTCAGGCAACAACTCTCAGAAAAAATTATTTTTGAGTTTTATTGAATTATTTCTGTTAATATTAAGGACAATTTTTCCATATGTTCACACATGATATTGCATGATTTTCTTTTTTTACTAAGTAACATCTTTATGTATTTTTCTTCATATAACTAAAAAAAAAAAAATTTTTTTTTTATTTATTATTTTACTCCAAGCAAGGCAATAAAGCCAGTAAAATGTAAAAGAATATGAGAAAAAAAAGAAAAACATTATTAAGGAGTGAGGATAATAAAAGAACAGGAATTAAGAAGATACAAGATAACTATTGAAATTGCATTTAAATTTTTGAAGATCAAAGTTGACTGGGAAGCAAGAGGCTGGAAGAGAGTACAAGTGAGAAGTGCTAAAGAAGAATCTGTTAACATAGAACTTACAGTTACATCTAGCAATTTCAATTGTGAAATGAGACCTAGCTGCCAATCTAGTGCTGTACTTAAGTTTGTAAAGCTGAGGTACAAAAGAGAAAAACCGATCAGAACGATTACCATGAAAGTATTTATAGTATAGGCACAGAGAAGCTATGTTATGGTGGTGGGAAAAAGACTGAAGCTGAGATGTCAGGTCAGAACCAGTAAAATTATAGATTCTTGTTTGGATTTTGAGAATCTCTAAATGCATAGCAGAAGTATCAGACCAGATGTGGCAGCACTATTCAGTGCATGGATAAATGGTGGACTTATAGATGGATTCTGGTAAGAAAAATTGTCTAGTGCAACTCGATGAACCAACTTTCCTAGGAGCAGATTCAACATAATCTTTTCACTTCATGTCAATGGAAAACATTAGCCTAAGAAGGTGCAATGAGTCCCTCTCCTGGAGATTAGTATCAGCCATGCTGATGAAAGGCAGAAAATATTCTCTAAGAGGATTAAAAGAGAGCAGTTTTGTTTAACAAGCCATTTCTTGCCCCAGATAACAGTAGATTGTAGATCACTTTTAGATCAGTTTTATTCTTATGGAACCAATCAGACTTACTATTAAGATAGGAGTAAATAGTTATCATCAGTATTGATTGAATCAGGTCAAAAATTTGTCCAGAAATACCAAGACACAAAGTCATCCATTTTGAGACATTTGTAAACAAGTTAGTTTTTGGTTTTAAAAATCTTGCAAAAGTAAAATATACTTTTCTGAAACTTTATTTGAGGAATATTAGCTGATTTAAAGTATAATTAATCTGATTTGAAAAAATATTAAATAAGTTTAAAATATCGCAGAAAGCATTTTGTAAATTGAAAGTAACTGTCTTTTTAACCTGACAGTAGCTAATTTATCATGTTAATAGCCTGATGACATGTTCTATGAAGATTTTATCTGTAAAACAATTTAAGAAAATTACATGAACACCTTTTTTTATATAATTTTTAACTTCTCAGAAAGCTTAAAAATTTAGGAAAATATTTTCTATAATTTTTTATTAAATTTTAGGAATGTTGACTTTAAATCTACTATAGTTATCACACTTATTTTCTCATAATGTCATGTATAGTTGCCCATACTTACAAAAATGGGCACATTTATAAATAAAAAAAAAATATTAAAAAAAAATGTTTAAGATAATAGTGTCCTTGATATATCTTATTTATAAAAGCAATTAAAAGTTTTTCTAATTATATCTCACAGTTTTATTGCATTTTATATTTTATGATTCAGAGTAGATTTTCAGTAAATGGTGTTTCTGTTTGACAAAAACAAAATTATTTAAATTCTCCAAAGAGTCCTGTTTTTAACTAATATAAATATTACACAGATGAAAATTTAATTTGGGGGTAACATGTACAAAAAAAATTTTTTTTTTCATTTTATTCATTTGTGAATAAGTCCTGAAAATTTCATTAAAATCCAAAAATTATTTGATTTTTGCAAGAATTTCCAAAACAATGTTTTTTACCACAAAAAAGATGCTAAATTTCCAGTAGTAATCTTTGGCTGTTAAATATTTTTAACTCAAATTTCCAATGTGCTAGAAAGGATTAAAAAATTTAATAAAATAAGCAAAAAAATACTTTGATCTTTCCTCTTAATAACATGAGCATTTTGATGATAAAACTTTTGTTAAGTTTGGAGCTTTTTTTCATCATGGTATGGCCTTTTTTAGAATTTTGGAGGTTCCAACTTTAGGGGCATTTATGTGTACTTTGCCAGGACTACACACATTTGTGTTCAGTTGTCCTCCTATCAGACTGGTTGGCAACCATGACTAGAGCCCCTAATCTGCCCTCCTGTAATACATAGCTGGAGGGAGAAGACATGGATTCATTTCTATTCCAAGTTTTGTGAAAGTGAATGAACTTGACCAGAACCCAAACTTTGCTTGCTGATTTCTCATACTGAGCCACTAACCATTATACCACCAATATAATATAGTAAGTTATGATTACTTAATTATGAGTTAGAAATGGTAGTTATTTTAATTGTGGTACAATTTTTATGTTTTATGAAGCTCTGATTTCAAATTATTATTACTACTGCTACTTTAAAAAAAATTATTGTAACAATGTACTGGTGGCATTGTTTTATTACTGTAATCATGTTGAATATTTTTTATTGTGATCTCTTTATATTCAGCTGGACTGACAGCTTGCTTTTTATATACAGCAATGTTTTCTGTTATCACTGCTTTTGTAATGTGCTGATGGTTTTCATTAAATATTACTTGCTTAAATATGCTAAAATATTTCCCCTGAACATACTCTTCTGAAATTGGTGTGTGTCTAAAAATCATCAAATATATTGTAAATAGAAACTTTCACTAAAAAAAATAAACCTTTGAAATATTCAAAAACACATATGCTAAAACATTCACTGAGATACCATAAGTAGTCACAAAAATTTGGTGGTTATAGGTCTAGTCCTCTTTGAGTTCTGCAGTGACACAGAAAAAAGATATTTAGTGACTAATATTAAGATGTCTCTTCTAATCAATCATTTCTCACACTATCCAAGACATTTGTTAACATGTTAAACTGGTGAAGAGTCATTAATCTGTCTTGTACAAAGATTTTTAAGAGAAACCTGGTCTTTGCTGCAATGTGAAACTGATGTGTTTGCTTTATATGGCTAAGAAAGTTTAGAATTTTTTTTTTTTACTAGTTGGTATTTTTCTTCTAGAGTTGCATTCATCAGAATGCAAGGTACATACTTTTGATATATTTATAAGAGGCAGAAAAGGGATACATTTGTTCATGATATATTCTTTAACTGAAACTTAGAAAATTATTACATTCTACTTTATGATCATGTAAGTTTTGATGGGATCCAATACCAGTCTCTTATTCTGACTTTGTTCCTTTTGCTACTAATAATCACTCAAATGTGCTCATTTTATTCAGTATTTAATTGTCACAATTTAAGGCTTAAATTAGTAAGAGTCTGTTAAACTAGTTTGATAATTATTGCTTTATGATAAGCCATTCAAATATAGGTATTGGCTTAGCCTGGCACAAGGGCATGTTCAATTGAACTAACAAAGTAGTAATGGTTGCAAAATATGCTTCAAAGCTATACTTTGCAACTTTTGATTATAATTACCATAATTCCCCATGTATAATACATCTTCATCCATAATACACACACCTAAAATTGTGCTGAAAGTGTGGGGAAAATGATTCTACTAACGTATAATACGCACCACTTGTTTGATAATCGAACCCTATAAATTGTACCTCTCCAATTTCATTACAGCCAGCATTTCCTACTCTTATTTAAAAAAAAAATTTGTTTTAAACATAGAATAATATGATTCTAATTTAGTTTTATAATAATTCTTATTTTATTTTATGGCTATATTTGAAATATTTTTTGTAGCTGTGCATAATACACACCCCTGATTTTGATTATTTTTAGAATAAAATGTGTATTATACAATGGGAATTATAGTAAATGTATTAGCCAGCAAAAATAACCAATATTGCATTGCCAAATAACTAATCTGTGTAAGGTAGACTAAATTAACTTTATCCAATTAACATAGTTATTTCTGTAATTATCAGTTAATGAAGAAAGAGGGCTTGTTAAATTTGATACTCATAAGATAGATTGAAGGCAAAAGGGACAGAGGAAAACAACATATATACCTACCCAAATGAGTAAATGGATGGTGGAGCAAGGTTTAGAGGAGAGAGAAAAGACAACATTTATTAAGAGTTACAAAGGACAGGAAATTGTGATGAGCCATGATTGCCAATTTCCTGAAGGGACTTCTTAGATATATCCTGTTATTTTTTCTCTCAATCTTTTAATGTTTTATTCATTATTTATCTCTTCTTATATATATATATAAATACACACACGCAAGTACAAATCTTCTTGTAAACAAATGCTTAAAATTTACTCAAAACACCTATTGAAATCAAAGATAAAATTATCACTCTACCCACATAAGGTCATAAAAATATACCAATTAATTACTAATCAGTGTTTTTTTTTTTTTTTTCACTTCCAACACCAACTTTTATAATCAAAAATTTGATTTACTGATAGGTTCCGTCTTAGCAGTGTTTCAGCTTATCTCTTTAGAGTTTCTCGTGAGCAGTCACTTCAGAATATTTTACCACAAAATTCTTATTTTAGATACTTAGGGATGTATTAATAGAGTATCATCTATGACGTGTGTGTGTGTATATATATATATATAATTTCAATATCTATATGAAATTGTCTAGGAAACATTATATTGGGATTAGTGGTTTTTATAAAAATATAAAATCAATGTAAGTTGTGGAAAATAACTATTTTTCTGTTTAGAAGGCAAACTTTTTTTCTTTTAATTTATAAATAATTTGTATTTGTTTCTTTTTCTCTCTACAGGAACTCATGTTATGGAAGGAAGTGGCAAGATGCTTGTAACTGCAGTAGGAGTCAATTCTCAGACTGGCATCATTTTTGCCCTGCTTGGTGCATCTAATATTGACCAAAAAGAGAAAAAGAAAAAGAAGAAGGGTGAAGAAGGAGGTAATTAGATATGAAAGTATTTTTTATTTGGTTTCATATCTCTGTTCTGGAGATGGGAATTTTTGTTTCATTTGTGATTTTTGTCTCAAAAATTTATTTTTCTTCAATGTTCTTTCTCTGACAACTCAAATGTTTTTTCTCCTTAAATTTCCAAATGTTGTAAGTTCCATGAAATCTATAAATGTCAGCATTAACTTTTCCTATTCTTTCCAACATTTACTCTGTAATATATAAATTATATATATATGTTTTCTTTTTCTTCTTACAAATCAAATTTTAGGTCAATGATGGTGATATTAGTATTGACAGCTAAAAAACTGAAAAATTTGAATTCGAGATAATCTAAAAAGGGAAAAAAGGATTTATTGAAAAGAAATTTAAATATCCAAAAATAATAAAAATATAAATTCTTTTTGAAATGAATCATATTTACATGTCTCTCACTCTCTCTCCCTTATTTTTTTTATAGGTAAAAATAAAAACAAATAGTTTGTGTCCAAAATTTATTACCAGTTAAAATAATTTTTATAATTATTTCAGTGACCTGCAAGAAACTTAAAACATTGCTACCTCTAATAATTCTTCAGAAATTATGGGTTTAATGTCTGCTTTCTGTTTCATCTCACACTTATTTATTTTTTTATTTTTTATTTTTTTTAATTTTTAATTAATATTTGCTTAAAAATAAATTTCAGGTAAAATTTTTCAATGTCAGTGCTTTATAGGGAATAAAATGATGTTGACTTTAATCTCTCCATTAATTAACATAAAATTAATTTACTCTAAGAATTGTTTGGACTATAGAACTCATTATTTTTTTGATATTACAAAGTTTCAGCAAATCCATTCTGCAACCTTATAGTTTGTGGAATGTCGTCTTGGCTTTGCTTGCAGCTAAAATTGTTCTCTACAGAGTCATTTGTCTTGTGTTCTCTCGAGGAGACCTTGAATAGGCATCTGAAACATTTCATTTCAAATTTTTGGACTCTCTTGGTGGTTTCTGCTGTCAGAGTACAGCTTTCACATCCATAGAGGAGTATGGACAGCACCAGGGACTTGCAGAGCTTGATCTTGGTTGGAAAGCTGATGTTTTTGCTCTTCCAAATCTTACTGAGTTTTGCCATTGCCCATGTTGACATAGCTAGTCTGGTCTTGATCTCTGTTGTAGAGTGTCCAACTTTGGTGAGGGTAATGCCAAGGTATTTAAAGGTATACAATTAACACAATTTTGCAGGCCCCCAGGAGCCCCTCTTGGCAACAGCAAAGAGGAGAAAGTTGTTGTGGCTTGAACATGTCTTATGCCACAATACCCTACCCAAAACAGTCCTTCAAGGTACCTTGGAAGTGGGTAGATGTAAGGGGAGGTACTCCAAAAGCTGGATGTCTAACATCAAAGAATGGACCAGGATAAACACTCCACTGTTTAGTGAGATGTAAAACAGATCTGGTTGGCAATGTCTGGCTGCCTCATCATTGCTCATGTCTCCTCTATGATTGATTCAGTCATGAGAAAAGAAGAAATTTTTTCTGCCTTTGTATATTACAAAGAAAGGATATAGATTTGGATGGATGAGTTTTAAGGTTCAGGTTTTTGCAGGCTCCTTTAATACACTCTCTCTTCCAAGGTATGATTTGAAATTCCAGCACTCATTCTAAAATCTGATATCTCCTCTGAAATATAATCTGGAAGTTAAAATAGTTTTCTTCCATTTAATATAGAAGCTATACAAATTTACTTATAATTTTTCTGTAATATGTGAATGCTAGAAAGTGAATATCATAATAATGTGCAAGGAAATTCTAAAAATTGAATTATTTCAAATTTTAAAAAATAAATTCATAAATATAAAAAATGTGAAATTTTCATAAATATAATCCTGTGTAAAGAAATTAAAAAAAAATAGAAAGAAAGAAATAAAGTTAACTATTTTTCTATTCACCATGGCAAAGCTGTTAAAACTTTATCCCTGCAGTTTATTATCAAGCTGCGCCTAGCCTGGCAGAAGGCCACAATAGTGTAGCACTAGGTGATGATCAAACTCACTATACTAATGAATAGGTTTGTTAACCATTGGACTAAGATACATGTCCACCAGCTAAAATGAAAAGAATTTTGTCTTGGCTATGAATGTAAAACTGTCAAAATTTATCTGCATTTAAATTAAAAATATATATACAGTAGAGAAAAATTGTTTTCTGAAGGATTATATTCATATAGTCATTGGCATCACTTGATTAATAGAGATTCATTTCTCATTTAAACAGATTCCACTTCAAGTACTGATTTTAAACAAATTTTTTTGAAAGTGTTCTCCTATGAACTATTAGTCATAGACTTTATATTTCAGGACTCCCCCACACACACACACACACACACATGCGCGCACACACACACACAAAATATGGAGGGTTTTATATATTATTTTGTTTTCCTTTTTCTTTAACTTGTATTAAATTAATTTTACTTTGCAGCTTAGTTCCTTTCTTTCTTGCAGTTATTTTCTTATCTTTTTCTCTCTATCTATCTGATATTAAACTCTTTTGTCTAAAATAAACTAACTCTTTCTCCTTTTTCAGGTTTCTAATTTTGAATCTTTTCTTTCTTATATCACTGTCTTTCTTCAAAGCTTACCAGATTCAGTATACAAGATCACCTAAAATGAAATTGATTGAATTTTTGAGTGTTAATTGCTCAAGTGTGAGGTCTTTCATTCTCTTATAGTTGTGTGCAAGGTTTTACTTCTTTGTTGCTTGTGAGGTCCACAATTAGAACTCTTCTTTGCTGGAACAAACACGAGATTCCATTCCTATCTAATTGCTTGCTATGAGTATTAGCAAGCTAATAAGAATCTATTTTGCCTCACATTTTCTTCACATTAACATTTTTGGGGCTTGTTATGCTCTTTGCCTGGCACATGGGTTGGTTTCTATAAATGAGTCAAAAATGGAATTTATACTATTCTCAAATAGCTCCTTGAGGATTTTCATAATGCCTAATTGAAATTCAAAGCTTTTTCAATACATAAGTCTGATAGTTTTGTATATGAAACTTTTTATCCTATTATTGGTGTTAAATGGTATATAAGAATCATTTTTAAATTTGTCTTTATGAAATGCAAGTCTGTTAACAGGTTCTAGATTTGACCCATATTTGGTATTAGCATTCTTTACTAATTATTCACTTGTCTTAGTTGTGTAAAATTTAAGGAAGAAAAAAAAGGCATATTTTACATTTTTTTTTCATTAAAATTGTTTTAACAATTCATCCCCACCAGTTTTTACGTATTGTTAATTTCTTTGGCTTAATTTAAAATACATTGTCTCAGTAATAGTGCTATTTTTTTCTTAGAATACCTTTAACCACTATTTAACATAAAATTGTCGATATTTTTTTAACCTTAAAAAAATGCAAATTATGTTTATATTATTGCTTTTTTTTTCAATATTGAATGTGTAATTATGTTTTCAGCTAAATTAAATAAAATAAGATTGAAATTTGATGACTGTACCTTAAAAATATGCATAGCACTTTTTTCAACTTATCAACAGTAAAACCTTAAATATTTAAATACTTAAATTTAAAAAAATTAATTCAAAGCACTAAATTAAGCCCTTTTTTTTCTTAAAAAAAAATAGCTTAAAAACATATGCTAAAAAATGTTATATTTGAAAGTGTCTTTTGATTTCTAAATGACTGCTTAAATAGCATTGACACTAGGGCTTAATTATTGATTGAGGAGGAAGTATTTACTCTGTCCCTTACCTCTACCTATGTTGCAACTTGTAAGAATGTATTTTGCATGTTCCCTTCTGCTTGATTGTGCAGGTGAGTTTTTGGAATCTGGTCACTTTGTTGTTTTGTTTTGTTTTTTAACAGCATGTTTTGTATGTGTTCTTTCCTAATATCAGCCACACTGGATGGTAAAATATCAGTTTTACATAGATGATTTTCCTCTTAGGAAAACTGAAAATATCATTCTCATTTTTTATCTTTCTAGTTAGTTTTGCTACCCTAGCTTATTTTATTTTTTTTAAAGAAAGTGTAATTAGTACTTTATTAAGACTTCATTTGAGAATTACTTCTGCTTCCTTATCTATACACATTCTGTGTATTTGCCTATTTTTTGTCTACAATTTTTTTTGTTGTACAAGTTAGCTTCTTTGCCATTGTGATGCCAGATGACGGCTTCTTTAAGACAGTGGCATACTGTTGTAATAAGTTTATGTAACTAGAAGGTGAAGAGCAATGCCATGAAAGAGCAGATTATAACAATATTAATTGTAAAAAATATATTTAAAGATTCACTTGTGAAAACTTTCTAATGATTGTAAGGATTTAGCAAAATATAAATTTCATATTTTGAATCACTTTTGATGACATGGGTAAACATATTTTTATAAGATTCTACTAAAGACTTTTGTTGGAATTAGTTTTCTATTGATAAGTAATTCACTATAATAACAAGGAGCAATATATTTAATGACTTGTGAAAAGGTAGGGCCCAACAAAAGAAGGAAAGGAGTGTTAAATCAGATGTTAAATGGAGAAAGACTAAATCAGATATCAAATATTAAAGTTTCCTCATTCTGTATTGTTCATCTCATCATATCTTAAATTTCTTCTTTTTTTTTTTTTTTTTTTTTTTTGCTTTTCACTTGTGCTTATTTTCTGTCATGAGACCAAATGAATTCCATATAAACTTTCTATAGGCATTTTAGAAGCAAATATTTCGAAAACAAAATAAAGAGAATGAAGTTTTATGATTTATTTTGAAAATTAATGGCAGTAATGACAAATGATACAGCCCAGCGGCATTGTTATAGATTTAGGCCAAGAGCACAAATTTAGTCTTCTGTTTAGTTCTCAGTTTCTGCAAAAATTGGTGTGGCTCAAATATCCCCCACCCCTCATATATCACATGTAATAATAAGGACATAACAAAATATCAATTTTATACACGCCTTATTTTACACAGCATATGTAAATTAATTTTTATAATATACGAAAGTAAAAAGTTGGAATGTGTGGTACCAACCAGATTCCTCTTTTTTTTTAGTTTTGCAATCACCTGACAGACAAGAATGTAATAAAATTTGTCAATTCATAAACCTTTAAAAATACAGATCAAATTTTTGAAAATATTTGTCAAATATCCAACTACAGTTTGAATTTGAAACAGAGGCAAAAGAGTTGGCAAATCATCAGATGTGTGAAAGTTTCAAAGTGTTTAAATTCTTTAAAAAGTTTTCTTTTTAAAGTATTCATTCAGTTTCTAGCATTCAAAAAAGAAAACACAAGATTTTTGCACATAACTTATATTTATTACTTTCCAATTTTTTGTCATGGATATGAAATAAATATTTTAAATTTATTAACATTCTGATTAGAATACAGAAAGTTATATTTTGTTTTGTGCCGATGATTATTTGATAAATGCATTTGATCAAATAAGTGAAAAACATTGAACCTAACTGTTCTTAAGATGCTCTCATTTGTCCACTGAAATAGATTTTTTAGATTTTAGTGTGTCTACATATGTTATATCTCTTAACAAATGCTGTCTCCACCCCTATTTATCTACAAATTAATGCTAATATTCCAGTAGTCCTGCTTTGTCAGAATTAATATTATTCAGAAAACTAGGAAAAAATATCTAAGATTTTATATTTTATTTTATTTTATTTTATTTTATTTTTTTTTTTTTTTTTCAATTATTTGTCAGAAAAATAAATCTCATGGCTTTTTACTTTTTCTCTTAAATTCTTAATGTTCTTTCTAAATGCATATTTTTATCTTTGATTGATGAATTATACACTTCTCTAACTAAAGGCATCTTAATTATTTTTAAAAAGTGTGGGTAATAAGATTTCTAATTATAAAGCCTTCATAGATACAAATCTGAGAAATGGTAGTAGCATTGACTAATTTTCTTCAAGTGTAATGTAAAAGTCTCAATATTGGAAATTTTCATTCCATCTAATTGATAGAATCTGTGAAGTTTCTCTATTCACTCAGCAATTTAAATGTTTAAATAAAGTAGATGTCATTTGAGGTGTTTTGCAGCTTATTCACATTGGTAGTGGGTACGAAAGACTTGCCTAAAATATATATACGTGGCTTAAGATTGGGTTGCTTAAAGAACTGCTCTTAACATGAACATACTATGGGAAGTTGCTAAGTTCTTGGCCTGACCCATTTTGTAAAACCTGACCAAATGCCCAAACATTAGATTTTTTCCAGCACACCCACATATTGCATTTAATCAAATGTGGTATTGAAGTAACTTTATAGTATATATTTGTTCTACATTCACCCACTGAGATTAAGAATAAATTTTGTTTATTAAAAGGACAAAAGTTTTTTTTTTTTGTTTTTTTTTTAATAATTATAGTTTACAAATCTGAATATTATTTTTTTGCAGACCATGAACAGGATCATGAACAGCTAGTGCTGCAGAGTATTCTGTATTTCTCAATTTCATTCCATTTTGAATTTATTTATGATCTTTAAATCAGTTTAACCAGATCTGTCTAAATAAATTTCAGCATTCATTTGGGGACCAAGGAAAGCTGCCAAAATAAATATAAAATGATACTTGGTGATGTGACTTGTACTATTATGTGATAAAACATTCTGGGGATTTTACTTGAAAACTACAATTTGAGGTTTAATTCAAATTTTTAATTCAATATTAGTTTGATTTAAAAAAAAAATACATAGTAATCTTGATGGCTGCTCATTGAAAGAGCAATTGAAATGATAAATCTGAAATTGTGTACATCTGATGCCTTTATTCAGTTTATTCTCAGTTGGTATTTTCAATAAAGCAACCATCATACTTACTGATATGAATTAGAAAATAATTATTTAATTTTCTAACATTTGTTTGTAAATTTTTTCTTATTCAAAAGATTTTATCAAACTCTTTCTTTGAATTTTTTTTTTTTTTACTCTTTACTCATGCCTCATCCAGTGTTTCCCTAAATTTGCTGCATGTCAATGTTGCCCAACCTATTTCTGTATTAAAATCCTGTTATTTTCAACTCCTTTATTAATGTTAGCTATATGCCATGTTTTGCTAGTGCAGTGAAATATTGGCACGTTAACTGTTTTTTTGTATTTTGCTAGTGTATGTGATATATAACTTTTTTCTATTTGGCCATAGTCTGCTTAGAAATATCGGCAGCTCTTTTCTTGAACTTCAAAATGGACTCGTGGAGATTTTCTACTTGTGACTTATTCAATAATACTTTATTCTGTACCTAATTAATAAAATGAATTCTATTTCTATTTTTTGTTCCTTTATAATTTACTCATTTTGAATGTAACTGATTAAGTCTGAAACAACAGAAAATAAAGAGATACAATGAAATTCTGTGGAAGATAACTTGTTTCATTATCATTTGATGTTGGCATTTTATTTATTGCTAATATTTATCAGCAGATGAATCTCTGCTCAGTGGTTAATAAATCTGACTTTGCAAAAATAGACTGACAAGGGTTTTTTTTTAATCGCATTTGATATGCAAGATAGGAAATTATTATTTCTCATAAGTTTATCTGAACTAATATTCTAAATTTTTGACTTTATATTGAGTGACTTACTTTTACACTCTTCAAGTTAAGTAGGGAAATTCTCATTCAGAGCTCATCACCTAGAAACAGGATTTTCTACATATAAACTAGGAGGATCATTTTTGGGAATTTGTCCAACTGAATTTTCAACCTCACTAAGTTTTCAATTTCTTTATTTGAATGTAGTTTCAAGAATAATTGAAATAAAACTAATAAATTAAATAGAATTTATAATGGATTCCTATTTTGGATTGATATCTATGAGATTACTTGAACAAGCAAAGTTTTATTTTATTTTGTAATTCTCATCAAATGCAATATTTACTATTCTTTTTAATTTTTTTTTATTTATTACTAAAGATGATGCTGTGATTTAATTTTGTAAAATTATCTATAAGTCTTAGATTCAGCAATTATGATTTGTAGAAAAAGAATGAAAAATTTGAGAGAAAAGATACATTTCACTGAGCTTGCTGTGTTTTTGTTCTTGTGAACCCTTTTAATTTTTCTTTATTTCAATGGAAGTCAAGCTTTCACATTTAAAGCATTCATAGTACAATAAGTAATGAAGTAAAAACATTTTGTTTATAATTTCAATAATTTTGACATCTGTTTTATTTGTTTGTGTGTATTAAATTTTTCGCTTTTTGTAATGCTGTTTTCTTTTCTTTTCTGAGTAGTTCTTAAAATATAGATAACACTAAAATATCTTTAAAATATAAGTAAGCCTGCAGTTCTTCAAAACAATATTTTCTATGAGCTTTCCTATTTCCAAATATTTTATTTTTTTTTATATATAAAATTTACTTTTTTCTTTCTTTATCAAAGTCAAATAGTTTATCTTCATAGCATTAATATCAGCAACAACAAAAAATATTGATCAAACTAGTAAAAATGTTGAATTTCTTCATATTGTTAACTCTAGTCCAGTTAAATCTTTTCTTTTCGTTTATAATGTATTGCTATTTTTGTAGAAGAGTAAAGATTATATTTGAAGCAAAATATCGATAATAAATTTTTTGTTTAATATTAAAGATTAAGAACTTATTTCATAAGATACTTCAAGTAAGTAATTATATATTTAAAGTGAAATAGTATGTTATGAACTTTTAATTAGGTATTTTAATCTTATTTTCTGTAATAATTTCACACAGTAAATTTTTAAGTGAAATATTTCCCGTGAGCAGAAGCATTATTAAAGGGAAATAATCTTACTTCCAGTACATAGACATTCTCACTTTCCTTACAGTGCATTTATCATTGTATACACAGCAATAATTGACTTTATTTAATCAACATTATAATATATTTAAAAAAAATAGTCTTGGTTGTTTATTAATAATCTGCTTGTAATATTAACTTGAAGTCAAATACTTATAACAAAATTTATACAAGATTCATAACAAATTAGAATATGAAAATTTTAGATTATTTGTTCTATCCAAGGTGTAAGCCATTAGCTTATAGTTTACATTTATTTCTGCAAGCATTTTCTCTCTTATTTAAATATAAAGGTAAATATTTACAGAATTTGCTTTCTTTCTGCTTTGAGTGTATAATCACATACGAATTCCTGCTTTTACAAGTAGTTATGGGGGCATTTGAAACAACTGCTTTAAGTAGCATACATGCTTTGTTTTGAACAAGTGCACCCCACACGCACATTGTATGTATGTGTATATGTGTGTGCACATGCAGATGCAATAGTTGACTTAGCTGCTCAATTGGAATTTTTCAAAGTTTTATTTTTAACATCATTCTTTCTCTTCATCTTTATTTTCTTCCAGAATCTAGTGAAATGAGACTACAATTTTTATTGATAATCTTTCTGGGTATATGTAACTTTGAAATTATATAGGTTTGACCAATGTGTTAGAGTTCAAACAAAGCAAAGAAAAGTTACTACGTCTTTTCCTTTATTTATATATATATATATATATATATATAATATATATATATATATATATATATATATATATATATATATATATATATATATATATATATATATATATATATATATATATATATATATATATATGAAGTGTGTGTGTGTGTGTGATGATGACGGTTACCAGAAGGAAAGCTGCCGATTTTTTAAGTCTTGTTTGATGCTTGTCCTTGGAATTGTGAACTGTGCTGATATTTTTGTGTGTCAACTAATTGTGTTTTGCTGCTTTTATATTTGCTTCCAGGGCTGCAGTCTAATCCACCTGGACAAACTGTACCAT